CTGAGTTCAAGGCTACCAACCCTGCATGAATCCACAGAAATCACACATACAAAGCTTTAAGAGAAACTTCATATCTATGATCTTTTTGATCTTTACAACCCAATGAGGCAAATATCTTCCTTTGACAAATGAAGAAACTGTGGCATGATTTGCCCAAGGTTGTTCTCATTAAGTGGTAGAGTGTGTTGTTCAGTCACACAGACATGTCCAACTCTGCAACCCCATGGACTGCAGCACGCCTGGTTTCCTTGTACTTCACTATCTCCCAGAGTTTGCTCAAATTCATGTCCATCGAGTTGGTGATGCCATCCAACCATCTCATCCTCTGTCACCACCTTCTCATCCAGCCCTCAATTGTTCCTAGCATCAGGGTTTTTTCCAATGAGTTGGCTCTTTGCAACAGATGGCCGAAGTATTGGAGCTTCAGCTTTAGCATCAGTCCTTCCAAAGAATATTCAGGGTTGGCAGCAATTCTTCAGTGCTCAGCCTTCTTTATGGTCTAACTCTCACATCTATAGATGACTACTTGAAAAACCATAACTTCGACTATATGGACCTTTGTCAGCAAAGCAATGTCTCTGCTTTTTAATTCACTGTCTAGGTTCATCACAGCTCTTTTCTTCCAATGCCTGGAACCTATATTTTTGGGTAGCTTCTTCCTCTACACCAGAGCAACTCAGATTTTAGTGTGCTTCAGAATTATCTGAAGGGCTTGTTAAACCAGATTTCTGGCCACTGTCAACCACTCTGATGTAGATCTGGAGTGAGGTTCAGTAATTTCTATGTCTAACAAGTACTAACACCAAAAAAAGATGTCCTTTTCATCACAGGGGATTGGAATACAAAGTAGGAAGACAAGAGATACCTGGAGTAACAGGCAAGTTTGGCCTTGGAGCACAAAATGAAGCAGGGCAAAGGCTAACAGAGTTTTGTCAAGAGAACACACTGGTCATAGCAAACACCCTCTTCCAACAACACAAGAGATGACTATACACATGGACATCACCAGATGGTTAATACTGAAATCAGATCGATTCTGTTCTTTGCAGCCGAAGATGAAGAAGCTCTATATAGTCAGAAAAAATGAGATATGGAGCCAATTATGGCTCAGATTATGAACTTTTTATTGCAAAATTCAGATGTAGATTGAAGAAAGTACAGAAAACCAATAGACCATTCAGGTATGACCTAAATCAAATCCCTTACGATTATACAGTGGAAGTGACAGATTCAAGGGATTAGATCTGATAGAGTGCCTGAAGAACTACAGAGGGAGGTTTGTAACATTGTACAAGAGGTGGTGAACAAAACCATCTCAAAGAAAGAGAAATGCAAGAAGGCAAAATGGCTGTCTGAGGAGGCCTTACAAATAACTGAGAAAAGAAGAGACTTGAAAGGCAAAGGAGAAAGAGAAAGATATATCCAACTGAATGTAGAACTCCAAAGAATAGCAAGGAGAGATAAGAAAGCCTTCTTAAATGAACAATGCAAAGAAATAGAGGAAAACAATAAAAATGGGGAAGATTAGAGGCTTCTTCAAGAAAATCAGAGATACCAAAGAAATATTTCATGCAAAGATGGGCACAATATAGGACAGAAATGGCAAGACCTAACAGAAGCAGAAGACATTAAGAAGAGGTGGCAAGAATACACATAAGAACTGTACAAAAAAAAGATCTTAATGACCTGGATAACCTTGATGGTGTGGTCAACTCACCAAGAGCTAGACATCCTGGAGTGTGAAGTCAAGTGGGCCTTAGGAAGCATTATGACAAACAAAGCTAGTGGAGGTGATAGAATTCCAGATGAGCTATTTCAAATCCTAAAAGATAATGTTGTTAAAGTGCTGCACTCAGTATTTCAGCAAATGTGGAAAACTCAGCAGTGGCCACAGGACTGTAAAAGGTAGCTTTCATTCCAATCTCAAAGAAGGGCAATGCCAAAGAATGTTCAAACTACTGTACAATTGGGCTCATTTCACATGCTAGCAAGGTAATGCTCAAAATCCTTCAAGCTAGGTTTCAACAGTACATGAACTGAGAACTTCCAGATATACAAGCTGAATTTAGAAAAGGTAGAGCAACCAGAGAACAAATTGCCAACATCTGTTGGATCATAGAAAAAGCAAGAGAATTCCAGAAAACATCTGCTTCATTGACTATACTAAACCCTTTGACTGTGTGGATGAAAACAAACGGTGGACAATTCTTAAAGAGATGGGAATACTAGGCCACCTAACCTGTCTCCTGAGAAACCTATATGCAGGCCAAGAAGCAACAGAACTAGACATGAAACAACGGAATTGTTCCAAATTGGGAAAGAAGTACATCACGGCTATCTATTGTCACCCTACTTGTTTAACTTCTATGCCGAGTACATCATGCGAAATGCCAGGCTGGATGAATCAATCAGAAGCTGGATTCATGACTGCCAGGAGGAATATCAACAACCTCAGATATGCAGATGACACCACCCTTATGGCAGAAAGTGAGGAGGAACTAAAGAGCCTCTTGATGAATGTGAAAGAGGAGAGTGATAAAACTGGCTTAAAACTCAACATTCAAAAAACGAAGATCATGGCATCTGATCCCATTACTTCATGGTAAATAGATGGGCAAACTATGGAAACAGTGACAGAGTATTTCCTTGGGTTCCAAAATCACTGGGGACAATGAATGCAGCTATTAAATTAAAAGATGCTTGCTCCTTGGAAGAAAAGCTATGACAAACATAAACAGCATTTTAAAAAAGCAGAGACATCACCCTGTTGATAAAGGTCTTTATGGTCAAAGCTATGATTTTTCCAGTCATCATATTTGGATATGAGCTGGACCATAAAGAAGGCTGAGCACCGAAGAATTGATGATTTTGAACTGTGTTATTGGAGAAGACTCTTGAGAGTCCCTTGGACAGAAAGGAGATCAAACCAGTCAATCATTAAGGAAATCAACCCTGAATATTCATTGGAAGTACTGATGCTGAAATTGAAGCTCCAATACTTTGACCACCTGATGCAGAGAGCCAACTCATTGGAAAAGACCTTGATGCTGGGAAAGACTAAAAGCAGAAGGGGCCAACAGAGGATGAGATTGTTGGATGGCATTACCAACCCAATGGACATGAGTCTGAGCAAATGCCGGGAGATACAGAAGCCTGGTGTGCAGCAGTCCAGGGGGTTGCAGTCAGACACAACTTAGTAACTAAACAACACTTACCCAGGTGGTACTGATATTACCAAAAACTTGGATCTACACCAAACTGTTAACCTGTGTCCTTGGGCAAACCCCTACCCTTTTTCTCTGAATTAATGTCTCAATGTATTAAATAAGGGGACTAGATTTCCAAACTTTTGTTTAGTATCAAAGCCCATTTTGAAAAAGTAGAAATTTTATATATGATACCAATACATACACAATAAAAATCCAGGGTGCTTTAGAGCTCTGGAGAGGAACCAAGGGCTTGCAGCAGCCATCTTCCCACAGAGCAGATGCTGAGGCTGTGTTCCAGAATATATATTTGCAAACCCCTTGACAAGATGTGGCCTAGATGCTCCTTGAGGGCTCTCTTCTGACATTTTTGGCTGCTAAGACAGCATTTCGCAGGAGAGGGAAGAGCTGGAGGAAACTTACCCATGCCTTAACCCATGCAGACTGCTCTGCCCATGCCTGATGGTTGGGTCACACAGCACAGGAAATCTTAAACTCCAGGGCTGTTGGGCTCATGGATCCCTTCAATAATCTGATTAAATCTATGAACTAGCTCTAGAAAAATGATTACATACACATACCCACAAAGATATTCAGGATATCCTCTAGTGAACTCCCTAGTATCCTAACTCAAGTTTAAAACCTTGACTGGTCTCTGGCAGGATACTTCCATTGAATTCCTACTTAGCATTTTATAGCATATGCCTTCTCCTCATCATCATTCCTTGGCTCAGTCATTTACAGAGCAAGCATCTTGGCTGGAATATGTCCTGGTTCTGTCCCTTGTTTTGCCTGTGTAGGCCCAACCTGGCCCTGCAGGTGCCCACTCGTTCAGCCAGCTATCACTCTCCTGAGTAGGGGTGGGGGATATCATAGTCAATCTTACCTTCAGCCAACCACATCCTGGAAATACCACCCGAGAAAAACAAAGAACTCGTGTACATCAGGGCTTTCTTAAGACATTTAACAAAGGTATCAGGTTATCATAATTGGTGGATTTTGTTCTTTTTCACTGGGCAGAGGGCTCTGAGGGGTGAGAACATAATTTATTCATCCCTGTCTTTTGACAGCTCAGGGCTGACAGGGTAGGCATTGAGGGTCTGAAAGAACTGGGTGATCACGGAAAAGCTCTGGGTCAGTCTCTAGGACATTTCTCTGCACCAGTGTCCACCACAGGGAGGTCCATTTTATCTTTTCAAGGCAAAAGGAGCAAAAAAGTGATAAAGGAAGATTTCTCTTTGGCTTTCAACTGTTGTTTGGTGCCCAGTGAGGGAAGGCAGGGAAATGGGTCAGAAGCATGCTGGGTAGCAACAGGAAGACCTGGATCTTCCAGCTGTCATGGAGGTTCTGAGCTGATTCCCCTGATGCTGGCTGGGATTTATGACCAATGTCTCTTCCGAGGTCTGATGCTTCTAAGTGAGCTGGCCCCACATTACATTTGAGTGAAGGGAGTAAAAATGGTTTGAGTCAGAAAAAAGGCTTAAAAAGGGCAGTAGAACCACTTCTGCTGTTATGATCCCATCTTCTCAGGACCCCCCAGAATAAAGGGAGAAGCACACAACCCTGGATCTCACAAACATCAAAACAACAGTGGCCTGTTTATTGTTTTTCAAAATAAAACAAAACAACATATATTCAAAATTCTACTATGATGGAAAAGCTGAGCTGATATGGTTGATGCAGGCTATCTCCCAGGTTGTTTTCTGGAGCATTTGGTAGGTACACTGGGGGAGGCAAAGGAGGGTAGACTATTGCCCCACTAACACTTAATGAACACCTATACCAGGGCAGTCATCAGAAGAGCTGTACGCCAGCTTTGAGCATATGAAGCTCATCCTGGCTCCAGAGAAGTTGGTTCAAGTTGCCACTGTCATTGCTGCCACTGCTGCAGCTCAGGCCTAGGGTGCTACAGAGAGAGGGGAGAAGAGTGGTCAGTCAGGGAAGGAGGCAGTTTTAGGCTCTGGAGGGGTTAAGGGCGCTTGATGTGTGTCTATGGGAAGGACCTCCCCTCTTGCCTGGCTTTACAAAGAGACTGGAATATATCTGAGAAACCACTTCAAGATTGGCCCCAGGGGTGGCTCTGCCTTCCCCTCAGCTGAAGGAAGAGGGAAAGGAATAGAACTTTTCAAATGAAACTTTATCTAGAACCCCAGTACATAAATCAGATTAAAGCAGAGCTATTTGGGTTGAAGTAGGAAAGGGAGACCACACCACCCTACTCCCAGGGAGGTATTGAAAGTGGCTGCCTTAAAAGGCTTTCTTCTAAGGTGCTAGATCTTGGGGGCCCAGAGGACAGTGGGCTGGGTCCCTCCCACTCCAATAGCTCATTAAGGGGCTCACGGCCAGGTATAGGCTGCAGGGCTTGGCCCAGCTCCCATCCTAGGATTATAAAATTACCCTAGGGAGAAGACTGCTTTCCCCTTCCCTGGCCCTGCTCAGAATACTCTTTGCTTCCCCTTCTTCCTGCAGGTCAAGTTATTTCAGGTAGATGAGGGTGAAAGTTAAGAGCAAAGCCATCATCCTTCCTCTCAGGCAGATCCATGGTACTAATGTAGCTGAAAAACCCTTAGAGATTATCTAGCCTCATCCCCTCCCATCACTCACCATCTCACAGACAAGGGAACTGAGGCTCAGAGATGAGAAGGGACTTGCTCAACATCACACAGATAAGTCAGAGTAGAGCTGAGACAAGGAGCAGGAATGGGCATGCCAGCCCCAGCTAAAGAATTCTCCCTACTACAAGGGATGTAGGACTGGATTTAATAGCTCTACCTACCTACACTTCACCCTTGATAACTTGATGTTCATCAAGACAGCCTTTAACCAAAGGAGAGGAGGTCTCTCTCACAAGACATATGGGACCCACTCCCAACTACAGACCACCTGGCTTCCCCAGCTGCTTCCTCTACTCTCCAAGATGCCTGCTGCCCTGACCTACAACAGAGTCCACAACACTGCCTTGGGCCTGGCATGCTGCTCGGGTCCCTGGGTTCCATAGCCCACTCTCTGAATGTGTAGAGGAAGAGGGGTTCATCTATGAAGTGGGCAGGTGGCACAGGGTCAGATTGTTTCAGGGGCCCACAGAAGTCTCTGTCTTGTACTCACAGGATTGTCCTGGTCACAAAAGCCCCGCATTCCAGAATGTACAGGCCCTCTTGATGGGCTCCTTTGTGTTACCAGCAGAACCCCTCAGCAAGGGTTGCTTGGTTCCTGGCTCCCTGATGACCCAAGGGCTCCTACACTTGTGATCCAGAGGTGAGTTTCGAGGGACAGCATGGAGCCCTGCAAAGGCCTTGCTACAAAGATGCCTGGACAGTGCAGGGAGGCCTACTGATTACTCTGTGCACCTTTGCTCAAATCCCTACCCTTTTCTGCGCCTCAGTTTTCACCTGAGGAACATGAAGAGTTGAATTAGAGCACCCGGGTGTTCTTGACTTTTTAGGAGTAGTGGATCCCTTTAGAGAATCTGTTGAAAGCTATGGACCCTTCTCAAAATACAGACACACACATACATACACACACATACACACGCATGCACACACAAACCAGATGCTTCTGAGAGGGATGCCAAGCCAGTTTTGTGTGGAGCTGCCTCACTGGCCCTCCACACTAGGGGCTGGGAGTCTTGGCAAGGGCCCAGCCAGGGATTGGAGCTTGTATTTCATTCATTTAGACCCCGACTGGGGACAGTTACCTCCCCCATCCACCCCATTCTATATTCTACCCTCCCTCCCTTCCTCCCTCCTGCAGGAGGCAAAGAAAGGGGTGAGAAATCCTGCTGCCATGGGCACTCACCCAGTCTTGCATGCTGGGGGTTCCAGCCGCTGCTCTAACACAGGCTGATCCAAAAGATACATGGTGTCATAATTCTCCAGCATAAGCTCTGCTGGGTCCTCGGTCTGACCTGGCATTCGACCTAAGGGGAAAGTGTCCCATCGCACATCTTCTGTGGAGCAAAACGAGGAGGCAAGAGAGGGCTGATGAGCTAGTTCTCCGATGGGTGCACAAGCCCACCTATCCTGTCCATCTACCCACTTTACTTCCCCACATAGCACAGGTTCTGTGTGCAACTCCAACCCCACTCCTTTACGCATCATTTCTCATGAACTTTTCTCCACCTTAGTGCTTCCTATCTCTTCCACAGCACCCCATACACTCTTCATGACTGTTCTGTGCGTTCACAAGCAGCACCCTCACCACAGCCCACCCCCTGCATACTATGTACACAATTATAGACATTTTTGTTCCTCTCTGCTCTTCTTCCATTTCCCCAAACATGTCCCTACACAAAGAGAATTCCCACTGCATCTCTTCCTCAAAACCAGATATCTCTGTATATCTGAATAACTTAGATATCCTACATACATATGTCCCCCCAGTATGTCTGAGAGCCACACCATTTCTTAGTGGCCTTGCCTTGAGAGATACATGTAAGATACATATACAAGCCCATATACTACCTCAAGGTGAATATTCTCTCAGAGGTATAATGCTCTCCCTCCCCACTGCACGGTCCTATTGCCCCCAGATGCATACACAAAGAACATCCCTTCTCTAAGGAAGGGCTGTTTCACTGCATGTCCCACGCCCTACAGACGCCTAAATGTACATACATAAGCACACAGACCTAACCCTCCACTCAGTGTTTCCAGTTTTACTCTCTGCCTTTCATACACAAACCAGAAATCTTAATGTCCCTGCATCCCCACATATGTATATACACATACAGAGGAAGCAACAGCGAGGGGGAGAGGGAAAGATTTCAAAGTCCTAGCCTTTCCCCGTTCACAACACCACCACCACCACCCACTGACCCAGCCCCCCATACGTAGGAATGGATGATGTCAGGCACTCTCCACCTATTATGTCCTATCATTTTAAGTACCTTCCACACAGTATTATATTAAATCCCCCCCCCAAAAACAATCCCTTCTCCATCCTTACACTAGTGCATTCAATGTGTGCAAGCAAAGCCTTCACCAGTGAGCTCTTCCAAACAGATCCAGTTTCTGGCCTCTTGCATCTCCCTGGTACCCAAAGAATTCTCCCCTGGCATTCTGGAAAGTATCAACCCAGGACTACAAACTTTTATGTTACTCAAAAAACTCCCTCAGGAAGGGATGTACCTCTGCCTGCCCATCCCCTAACCCCTGGTTCTCCTACAAGAAGGAATTTGTGACTGCACTGCCCTATGGATACAAAGATACCTCTGTACACAGGGACCACTCCCTCCATGTCTGTCACTGACCTGACCATCCTCCTTCCCTCCCTATTACTAATGCTCCCAATTCTGTCTACATCATTGCCCCTGCCCCTCTAGCCTTATATCCTTGTACATGTCCCCCCAGTGATAGCACAGACCACACAGGCCATCTATGGATGCTGTCTCACTGCCTGTTCTCAGGCCTTTCCATATCACTCTCCCCCTTATTGCTTCCATTTCTCTCCCACATAAACATGCCTCCTGGTCCCCATGGGTCTTGGCAACCCTGTCTCCTTTTCCAAAAACATATATGACCATGTATGCACAGATGCACCTACAGCCACTTCACAACTTCTCTTTTTACAACCCTTTCTGTCTCCCTCCCTCCCCCTACTTCGTGCTCTCTCTCTCTCTCTCTCTCTCTCTCACACACACACACACACACACACACACACACACAATTCTCCTCAGTCACTGCCCTTCCCTTTAGATATTTTCAAGCACAGTCCTCCCTATCTTAAGACAGTTCTCTGTCACTCTGCCTTGGTGTGTCCAGCACATGCAGGCACATAACCATGTGCATACATGCAAACATAAACATGTTCCCTGGTCCCTAGCACTCAGGGCCCCAGCCCTTCCATCCATGTAAAAGCAAAGACTTCATTTTTACCCTAAGTTTCTTCACTGCCTCCCCCTCTCCCTCTATAATCTACCATGTCTACCCTACACCACACCCAATCCCAGCTGTTTTCCTTCCCTCCCTTCCCCAGGCTTCATCACACAGGCTATGCCTAACATTTATCCCTGCCTCAAGTGTGTACACATATACACATGCCTATGTGCACACCTCAGACTTTTCATTCCTTTGGCTTCCCCCTGCCTTAAGGTCCCTGCTCCCCAACCCAAACAAGGACATTCACCACCCTCAGGAGCAGATTCATGCTCCCCCTACCTATCATCCAAGTCCCCTGCTCCCTACTGGCTTTGTCTCACTAACTTGTATGCTCACCAAAAATCTGACCTGTTCCTTATTCTCCCCTTTCTGATCTCATTTCCACTTCGTCTAACTGAATACCCCTGGGTTCCTTCTTTCTCAAACATACAGCAAAATCCTGTCCTATCACCACTCAGCCTCCACATGTCATATACATTCACTTATACACAGACAGCACTGTACTTCGGCTCCCTGCACCTAATCACTGCATGCAAAACACACATGCAGAATCACACATATATCCACCCCCAACTTGTCACTTTCTGCTTTGCTGCCCAGTGCCTACATCCACACCAACTCCTCTGAATGCGCTCTCTGCATGCGGCAGCTGGCAGCATGACAGTGCTAAGGTCCCTGATGCTCACATGTTCCATCCTAAGGGGGAGGGAAACCAGCTGTCATCCACATACCAGGTTGCCTCATGCTGGCTACTTCCTGCTACTTTCCATCCTTTCTTGAGGGTGAAGGGAAGCTTCAAGAGCCAGCCAGAGAGGGAAGATAGATGTGGGGAGAAGCGGTTAACAGGCTTCTTACCTGAGCTAACTTGCCATGCAGAATCCTGCAAAGCTCCTCTTTTCTGAGCTAGGAGCCTGGCATTCTCAGCAGTGGGGGACTCTTCCTCTGTAGAGAAAGGTACCACCTCCATCCTGTCTTCCTCCTCATCTTCATCACCGTCATTGTTGTCATCGTCACCATCATCTTCCTCCTCTTCTTCCCACTTCTGGTGATGATTTTCCTCTTCCTCTTCTTCATCCTCTTCTACCTGGTCTTCCATGGCTTCTTTGTTCTCCTTCTCATTTTCCTTGACATCATTCAGGCTGCCCTGCTCCTCCTGTGGCTGGGCTTCTCCTTCAGGCCCAGAGCTTGAGCCTCCTGGTTTGAGGATCAAATAAAGGTTGTCCACTGTGTATGGAGACTTCCCAATGGGGGAAGCCTCTGAACCTTCCTGCACCGGGATTTCTCCACTCTGGGTATAAATGGAACAGATGCGTAGCAGCTTCTCCTGCTCCTCGTCTGGCAGGAACTGCCCCATGGCTTTGAAGATGCTAAGAAAAGGGAGGAATGGAGTAAGAAAGATTCAGAATCTCAAGTCACTTCATACCAAATTCCAGTTTGAATTTGGTCTCGGAGCTTCCAGACCTCCCCTGAAAGGCAGTTCAGAAGAGCAAACAGAACACAGAACCATGGACCCTAAACAAGCTCTGTAATTCATCTCTGTGGTTCACTTCCATTCTCAGTAAAATGAGGACAATAATGGTACCTAACTTAAAGGGTTGTTTAATGAAGTAAATAGCATAGCTCACATAGAGTGCCTAGCCCATAGTGAGCAAGCAATAAATGATAGCTATTAATCATACTAAAATGCTATATAAATATAGAAACTAGCCAACATGCCTGCAGGGCTGGACATGAAAATGGCAGATCCCTTTCTTTAGCTAGGCAATCTATCCTGAGCTCCAAAGATATACTGGAAGTATGTGGTGCTCCTTCCTCATGGAAAACAAAGTGTGATCCCTTTCTGGGAACAACTACAGCCCAGCCTGGAATGGAAGAAAAGCAGCAGCTGACAAGACAAAGCAGGGTGTGGGAGGGAGGCCAGATGAGCACTGCAGATTCAGGCACTACAAGAGCTGGGGGCAGGCAGAGAACACAAGGTGGGCAGGAGAGATCAAGGGAGGGCTTTGTGCAGAGACAAGAGCAAGCACACAGGGCTGTGTGTATGCAGTGAGACTAGCCTGGCTCAAGGAGTAGAGCTTTGCTGAGGAGCTGTGGGAGCAACAGAAGCCTGCAAAGGTTAGGATGTGTGTATGTTGGGTGGAGGGGGTCATTGGATGTTTCTGAGCACAGGTGAAGGCCGCTTTTCTGAAGATCGCCAGGGTGACCGTGTGGAGGATGGCCCGGGTGGGGCAGCCTGAAGTCAGGGAGACCAGGGAGTCAGTGAGGACTGATACAGGGCACTGGCAGTGGAGACGGGGAGAGAGAAGCTGTGCAGAACAGACAGACAGCAGGGCTTGGTAACCAAATGGTAGGGGACAGGCAGAGGAAAGTTAAAGATGATGACATCGTGCACACGAAGGACAGTGCTAACAACTAAACTACCAACAGATACAAAGCCACTGGGAAGGAGAGTTCCTGGGGAGGTACAGGGTGAGTATCCCTTGCAGAGTCTCACAGAGAACCAGGCACCCAGCACACACCTGATCAGTGCTAGAGGCATGGGAAAGATGCACAGATGGATAGTTTCCTTCTAAGTGTATTGAGTTTGAATTGCAGGTTGTTCATGGAAGGAAGGGCCATGTGCTCAGTGGAGTTTTCTCTCTGGAGCCCATAGGCAGACTGGCCACATAGGTGTGGTTGCTGGTCACTGGCTGCTGGGGACAGGGCTGGGAGCTAGTGACTCCACTGGGAGACTGGGAGACCCCCTCTGCAGGGGTAATTTCATATTCTAAGATGGCACTGGCTCAAATTGAATTGATATTGGCTGGCTGGGGGCGGGGGGGGGGGAAGCTCTCAAAAAAGCTTCCAGCCTTACTAAGAAGCAGAGCCAGAGAGAAATTTTCTTCCCTCTCATTGCAGTCCATTAGTGCGATTAATAATAAATATTCTTAGGCACTTGATCTTGGCAAGACACCATACAACTACTGTTTATTATTACCCTCTTAAGCTGTCTAGTCTGACCACTGAGGTATAGGGGTGATAAGAATCTTAAAATCCATCTCCTTCCTCAGGTTTGCCTGGTCATATCTAGGGACTGAGAAGGTCACAGATCACACTGGTGGAAATAAGGTGAACTCTGGACTCATAAGACCTGGGTCCAAATCCCTGTCCCAGCATCAACAAATTGTATGACTTTTAGATAAGTCACTTCACTCTATTCAGAGCCTCAGTGTCTTTCTTATCTATTAAATTCAGTGTCTGTAATATCTCTGACTCCAAAGGATTGCTGTGTCAAATGAAAAAGCTCCTACAAACACAGCATACTTGTCTGACACTTAATTGCCAATGGTATATTTTATTTTTCCTCTGGGGAAAACAAAAGTCATGTTCTATATGTGCAATAATGGAACACTGTATAAAGAACACAGGAGGAATGACAGTATATCTGGATTCTGGTCCCAGATCTGGCCTGAAGACTTACTACTGACTTGCAGCATAATACCTGAGGAAATCCCATTTCCCAACCTGTGTAATGGTGTGATTAGGACTCAACTCACTGATTATCTAGGTAAGGCAGGATCTGTGTACAAGAAACCATACCCAAGTGAGCTGCTATTACTGCTTGGCATGTGTCGCATCCCTCTGGTATGCTTGGGTTGAGAGAAGATCTCTGTGGTGCAGACTTCTCCAAGACCAGCAGCTTCCTCTCTGCAGGCACTTAGGACTGCAAAGTACTTTAAAGGCCATCTATCCAAACCTCTCCATACCGCTCTTTTCATTCCCTCTCCCATTATACACACACATGCCATATTCCTTCAGAACTTTGAAATTTCCTTTATTTTTTCTCTTGCTAGAATTACTCAAATGCCTCTAGGAGTTTCTGGTTCTCCTCCCAGTTTCCCACCCATTTGTATCATTTTCAGTCTATAGCAGACAAATCTGGAGATTTAGCTGTTTGGTTCAGTTCCATCTCCTGGAGGTCTTGCCCTCAATGACTCTGTCAACAAGGCTACTTTTTTCTAAGTTACTTATAAGATACAACTGTGACACAAATGGCATTAGGATTCAAGAAAGACTTTCTGACTCCATGGGGAGAGGATAAGGGGGGCTAAAACGGTCTAAGCATCCAGACTCCCACTTCATTTATTCCTCAACTCCCACCAAAGAGAGCACTGTTGGCAACGATAGCAGAGTATAATTTAGTTCAACAATATTTGCTGAGGTTTGTTTGGAGACTGGACTTGCAAGTGTGCTGGGGCACAGGTGGCTAATGCAGAGCCCTTGCCCTTGAAAAGCTTAGTCTGATAGAGGGAAGGAGACACTAGGAGAAATAAACATGACAAGAGAAAATCTCAGATTTGAGAAACACTTGAGAGAATCAAAATGACAGGGTAGATAGTGCTGCCACCAAGTGAGACAGGGAGCAGAGGAGGAAGATCACTTTGGGGCGGGAGTGGGGAGTAAGACAACTAATGCCCTTTCAATCACAGTAAGGTACTTAGAGGCCATCCAAGGGGAAATATCTGGCATGCAGTCAAATACAGGAGGCTGAATTTCTGGGGAAAGGCCTGAGTTAGATAAAGAGATTTGGGCCTTGGTACTTTATAGGAAATAGTTTTTCTTTTTTTTTTAAAAAAGCACAGGCATTTCAAGGAAGGAGTAGCGAACAGTATCAATGCGGCAGACAGGCAATGGACAAGGGCCCACTGGATTTGGTAATTAGGTCAAAGCAGCTCTAGGGGTGAATGCCAGATTGCAGCAGGTTGAGGCGTAAGAAAGTAGTGAGGAAATTGAGACTGCTGAATACACATTACTTTTCTGGGATGTTTTGACAGGAGAGCAAGGAGTGATTAAGTTGCTGGTAACCCAATAGAGGTATGCAGTGTCAAAGGAGATTTCATTTGTGTTGTTATGATTGCTGTTTTAAGATAAGAAAAATTCAGACACTGTTCACAGGTTGAAGAGCAAGAGCCAGTAGAGCAAGGGAGAGGCTGGGGTGAGGCCCCAGTGATGCTGGCAGAGGTAGCTCCAAAGAACAAGTGGAGGAGTAGGCTTTGAGGTTGGGTAAGGCCACCTCATCTTGAGATTGGCGACAATGCTGAGCATAGCCAGAGATCAGCTCATGAGGTCTGGACCTCAGGTCATGGGGGCCCTGCCAGAGGCCTCCATGTGCTCAAGGGAGCTAGGGTAAAATGGGGGAGGGGTTTGAGGTGACTAGTAAGGGTTTAGAACAGTCAGGAAACAGGAGAGAAAGTGGGCAGGAAACAAGTAAAAGCTCAGACAAGCCAAACTGAGACCTGGCCTGAGATCAAAAATCATACCTCTGCAGTGGCAGCAATCCGCAGGGCTATGTGGTTTTCTCCAGCAGAGCTCAGCTACCTGGGCTGAGGAGTGGGAGAAGCAGACTGGGAAGGATCAATTCCAGCTTGGCAGTTTGTAAGTCAGATATGCCAAAGGATGGACAGAATGGAGGGTGCTGATGATGGGTGACTGAAGTGATCAACCAAAGACAGGACTGAAGAGAAGCAAGATTGAGGCAGGTAAGAAATGGAGGGATAGAGGTCTGGATGCAGGCAAAGAACAAATGCTATGGGATGCAAGGATGAGAACTGGTAGGACAAGAGGTGGTAGTCACAAAGTGGGATGCTGGGATGTAAGCTTTCAGAGGTGGAACAGCTTTGAGTAATGGAAATGAGTTGCTGAGTGTAGTGAAGGATGAAGGTCACTGAAGTTGAGGAACCGCAGTGTCAGATGGATCACTCAAATGAAACAAATACTGCTCCAAAAAGCAGGAAGAGAATTGGGTCCTAAAGCCTTCCGTGAGTATGAGGGGAGTGGTGTGGGGTCAGGAAATGACAGAAAAAAGGAAAGGGAGACAACCACAGGTATCTACAGAACCAGTGCAATATTCATTTTGATCATAGCACTCAGAGCGGACTGGGCAAAGGGGAGTCAAGGAGGTATGATTATCACAATAGATTGGGGCAGAAGCAGAGAGATCTTTGAATGTCAGGCTAAGAAACCTAGTCTTCATAAGGAAAGCAATAACAAGCCACTGAAGGTTGTTAAGCACCTATGAGAGGTATATTTTGGGAAGATAATGGAGACACCACTGGGCATAGAGTCAGCAAAATGGGTTCAATAATCAACAGCAGCTACCATTTATTGTGCACTTACTCTGTACAGGCCACTGTGCTAAGCACTGTAGGGGGGTGTCTTATCCATTTTCATACTGGACTCAGTTCAGCCACTTCTTAATCTCTGTGATCTTAGGCAAGAATATATCCTACCCCTTCCCTCTCTGGGACTCAGAATAACTCTCTCATCTTGAGGGGAGATCTTTGCAAGGAGGGAGGTCTTTGCAAGGGCTCAACCAACTCTACCATTCTAGGCCTGTGGCCCTGAGGCCTGCAGCGTCTCACCCTCTTACTGGATGGTATTCAAAAGACTTACAGCTGAAGAAGTTGGGGGCTGGCCCAGCAAGGTGAGCCCAAACAGGACTCAACCACCTGGGGCCAGTCAAGGGAGGCAGAGCAGTTGAAGAGCCTCCAGTTCTTTCTCGCTTCCCACTGGCTGGCAGAAAACCGGCGGGCATTCCGTCCTGAGAAAGAAGACAGGGCCTGAGAAGAAGGAAAGAGAAAGCCCCTCACCCAATCTTGCATCTAAAAAGTTTAGCTGTTCCTCTCTGTCCCCCCAGACTTCAACATTCCTTCAATGAGGACATTCTAAACCTCCCCATTGCTCAAAGCATTCAGAACCCTTGGCCCCAGCCCAGTTTACTTGGCTCTGAGAAGAAAAAGGTGAAGGGAGATTTGTCCCTGCTGCTGCAGGGCCCTCTTGGGCCGACCTTAAAGGTTTAGCCTTTAACACGGGATGTATCTGCCTGGTGCTATTCAGTATGAGGACAGTAGCAGATGCTCTTGCCTGGGCTGCATTAAGCCCTGGGGCTAGGACTAGTCTTCCTCACCAGTTTTGGTGTTAGCCACAATCAGTTCAGTGGTCCATCTGAGGATGTAGGTGGGCCGGATCCCAGTGTTCCCCAAGGCTGGCAGCTCAGAGAACATCCTCTCCAACAGGGCCTGCATGAAGGTCTGGGAGTGCAGGCCCCTAAGCAGGGGCTGCCAGAATTGAGAGAACGGCTTTGGCACCAGGACGTCATCCAAGTCCACGTTTTCTGGTTTGTGAGAAACATCCATTGACAGGAAAAGGGGAAGCAGAGAAGGAGAGGGAAGAAGGGAGGGAAGAAGGAGGAGAGAAGAAGGAGAGAGAGAAGGAAGGGAAGAAATCAAGCAGAGAGAGGGAGAAAAAGAGGGGGCCCCACCAATAATAACAGAGTTGCCACCGCAGAGCAAAAAGAAACATGAGAGCAGAACAGCAAGGAGAGAAACCAGTTAGTATCTGGCAAACAACAACTGACTCAAAACAGAGTACAAAAGAAAGAGAGCTCTGGTTCTAGCTTCAGCTTTGTCAATAACTCACTGTGTGACTTTGGATCAGTACCTTCCCCTCTCTGGACCTCAGTCTGCCCATCTGTAACATGAGGATGTTGCACTACATGACCTTACAAGGCCCTTCCAGTTCTGTTGTTCTAGCTCTCTAGCAAGTGGCTAAATCACAATTAATATAGCAAAATAATGGCATTAAGACCCCCACCCCAATCCCAATCCACCCTATCTCACCCCACCCAATTCCAGGCCACTTAAGAATAGCCCAAACCAACAACTACTTTTCAGTGGGGCTACATTCTGCTCTGCCAGGATGGTCTTCCAGTAGCTATGGAATGGCAAGAAACAGCCCTTACCCCCTGTCCAGGGCCACCCAGACCACCCCTGGTGTTCTTGTCCAGTATACCCATACCCTAAGGCTGTAGTGAGTCTCCAGGACCCTACCTTCATATTCTATCTGCAAAGCTGCCAACTGTTCAAATGTGGGGATGAGAAAGCCGTCATCCAGAAAAGCATCTAGCACAGCCTCCCTGGAGCAAGAGGACACTAAATTAAGTAAACTGAAGCAAGCAGAAGACCCCCTTCTACTCCCCTACCCACTCCCAAGGCTGCCAATGCCTCAACTCAAAGGCCAAACCAGCATGGGAAAAAAGGAAGGCAGCTGACAGTTGGCTTTCAGGCCCCTGCCTCTTGGGTCAAGGGCTGAGCCAAAAACTGGGATCAGAGGGTTTTGAACAAGCATCTACCAAGCACATACTAATCTGAGGCCCATAACAAGGGCAAGAGTAGCTGAACAAGCTCGAGAGCACATATGAAAGAAAGTCCCAGGCCCACAAAGGAGTTAAATGCCTGTGGTCATAGGGTCAAGATCCTGCTCAGTCTTTTCTCTTTACAGTTGTCCAGTCTCCTACCCCTCCCTTTCTCCCTGGTTGCCTTCATTCAAATCTTAGAAGTAGAAACTTTAGGGACTCCATTGATGGATCAAATATTATTCTCATTCCTATAGCCTGCAAGAACCCAGAACTAAGTTACAGAGGTTAAAGCCTAAGAAATAGGGGTAATCTCTCATTCCCATCTAGCTCAAACCAAAATGTGTCAGCTGTCTCCTCCGAAGCTATAAGTTCCCTAAGGGAGTCTCTCCTAGCTGACTGGGCTGAAGGGGAACAAGAGCTCTCAAGGTGTCTCAACGTCTAGACGGCTGTCATGCTCAGGCTCAAGGAGGAAAGAGTTGTCCTATCCATCTCCTGTCTCCTCAGGTCAATGTCCAGGAATAGCACCTAAACAGTCAACCAGTTGCCTGCTCAGCATGATCAGGCAGACACTACTGTATAGCACAAAGATAGTTTTCCCAGCTACTGAGGTAGTCACCACTCACCTCTTTCCTGATGGGTACAGCTAAGAAGCCTAGGCTAGGCAGACACTGATAAAAACACTGTCTGAACTATTAGTGTCCTAGGAATAAAGACATCAGGAACAATCCTAATTTGCACTGCAGGTACTGCCTGCTATCCAGGCCCACTCTGTCACCTACACCACCTTCCTATACTGTCAGCTTCATCGCAGATTCTTTCCAACCTCTTCCCAAAGCCCTTTCCAGCTGAATTTAGGTAACCAGGGAGGAGAAGAATGGATAGACACTGTCTGCTCTGGTTGAACTGAGTACTACTTTGGGGGAGAAATAAGGCTCATGGCCATAATGGGTGGTTCAGTGGGAACGTAATCTTTCAAGGATCCAGGCCTTGGGAAGGCCCCTCCTCTGTCCCCTCAACCACAACTATCCAAGGGATGCTGATACCCTCTCATAGCAGTTTAAGAGACCAGCAGTGCCTACCAAACATCTTTTACCTCAAACTCAGATTAAAGAGATAGGCAGTGAAAAAGCAAAAGATTCAGGACTCTTCCTAGTTGCCAAGAGTTTCATGTACCACTGCACACAGAGAAACAAAGCTGGCCAGGGGATGCATGACAGTAAACATTATTGCCTGTAGCCAGTCCAGTGACTCAGAGTAGGCAAACCACACCTGGTAGCTTTCAGGGCTTGCGAAAGTGGATCATGCGAAATACAGGGTCACCCGTGGGGGATCAGGATTATCCCTGGAATTTCCTACAGCAGAGGCTAGCAAGCTGGGATATGAAAACCAATTTCAGAAAGGCTGCTACACTCTACCCTAGAGGAGTAGCAGCCCCTGATTACCTAGTTACACACCTGTTCTCGAATGTAATGCCCTTGAGCTCTGCCAGGATGCATTCTACAGGTGGGGACAGGTTATTCCACGCTTTAATGGCCTGAGGTAAATGCCTATATTTCTCCAGCACCTGCCAGCAAAGAGGGTCCCATCAGAAGGCTAGTTCAACCAGGTAACCCTCCCCCATCCCTCCAGGATTCCTTCTCATAGGACCCCTCAGCACTTCCCTTCAGGGAATATGGCAGGGTATGCCAGGGTGAGCTCACAATGTCTCTATTGGCTCTGCAACTAAAAATATCCTGACCCTCAAGCTCCAGATTTTCTCTTCTTCCTCTTCCTCCCTCCCCACCCCCCAAATTCCCTGCAGCTCCCAATAACCAGATAATCCAATACACAGATATCCAATGGGGGCATTTGGTTGGGAGTTGGGCAGAGAACCTTGGACTCAGGGGTGAGAGGAAGCAATGAGTTATGGAAGAAAGTGAATCAGGAGACCCAGGTTCTTGTCCTGGTTTTATCACTAACTGCATATGTGACCTTGGGCCAGTCCCTTCACTCATCCATGGCTTCAATTTCTTCATCTGTGAAAAGGAAGGGTTGAGCTGAATGGTTTGTAAGCTACCTCCCTTCCGGCTAAAATAGCACCCATAAGCTCACCTGATCTAGGAAGGCTCTTGGATGCCATTTGCTGATCAGCTGCAATACAGTAGGTCTGTGCAACCACATACACCCGGTTATTCCCTACCACCCAGTAGGGCCAAATATCCACAAACTTCCATCATCTGCTCCCTTCCACTGATGTGGAAGATCAGCCAACTGGACTCTGCTCCTCTTGTCTGGTTCCTACTCCCCGCCTCCCCATTTCTAAGAAGTTCCCTCAAGCTTTGCCACTTTTCTTTCAATTTCCTTCTCAGGACTTCTCTCAAGTAGCTGGCAAGAAGGAAGAAATGGCTAGGGCAGGTGAAAACAGGCCAAGTCAAGGGCACATTCTTACCTTAAACTGCTCCTCTTCATAGGATACCAGCAGTTCTCGGGCTCTTTCTGAAAACAGAATAGGGTAACAGATAGAGCAGCCAACCTTGTGTCCTACTCCTGATGAAATTTTGAACCCCCTCACCTCATTTCCTGAGTTGTAAAATGGGAACTAGAATTCTTGGCTCTCTTGCTTCACAGGGCTCAACGAAGATGCTTTCTGACAGTAATTTTTTTTAAGCTAAGCCTCACCACAACCCCAAAGGAAAATACCAAGCCAGCGAAATAACCAGAATCAATCATAAGCCTGAGTCTTCCAAGCTCATGAGCCCCTTTCTGCACCAGACACCTACCATACAACTGTTTATGTCTCTGAGCCTTTTGTAAAAGCAGATCAACCTCTTTGCTGTCTTTGTTGCCTTCACGGTCTCCATCAGCCTTGACATTCAGCTCTACACCTTTCTCCTCATCCTTAGGCTCTGGATTCTGTTCTTTGATGTCATCAACAACAATTTTCTTATCTTCCTTTTGGTCTTCTTCATCTGTCTCTTCCCTCTCCTCCTCCAACTCCCAGGTCTCTCTCAGGCTGTTCTCCATTTGGCGGCACCAATAGGTGTTCTGGAGCCAATCCAGGACAAAATAACAGCCTAAAGGAGGGGAGGAAGGAAAGTAGTGCCATAGTAACAGTCACAGGCAAGCAGCTCCTCAGCAGGCCCCCAGTCTCATCTTGCAAACATTATGGGAAAGCCCCAGGGAAAGAGGCTTGGCTCCAAGAAGACACAAATCTCACATATCCAGAAACAGCCCCTCTTGCTCTGGGTTATCCCCCTGTTGTTTGCTTCCTCCCACTCACCAGCACATTTCCTAGAAAAAAACTAATACCAGACTTGAAGATGGGAGGCCAAAAATGGAATGGGGCTAGCAAGTGGAAGAATAGAGACCCAGCCCCACTAGCTAGTTACAAAGCCTTAGCCAATCAGATCTCTTCCCTTTTCTAGATCTCAGTTTCCCCAACATGAAGGGGTTAGGCTGAATCAGGGGTTCTTAGTTGGAACGGGGTGTCCAAAGAACTCCTGGACTCATGATATTTGATGGCTCACACCTCTCAACCCACTCCCCATTCCCCTCCTCAGGCACAAAATTTAAGGGGACGCCAAAAAACTCAGTAATTGAGACAACAAAACAGGATCAACAGTGCCCTGTTACAATATATTGGAGCCTAAATCAAAAGGAGAAATCAGTATTATTAATCCTATCTTTATTCATGTTTGGTATTTTGATCATCGTAAGTTTTTCTATATTAAAATGTTACTTATATTGATTACTGAACTTTTGACATCCCCTTAAAGTTTGTGTCCAAGGTGAATGCTTCACTTGACTCACCCTAGTCTCAGCTCTGACCCCAGGTGAAGACCCTCCTCCCTCTCTTTCTCCCCACAGTGCCACCCAGCCCAGGCTTCTGGGCTTAACTGTGATATGTATACTCCCTGGGGACTCACCCCTACGGCAGTCATTTATATGGGGCATTTTCTTGTGGGTTAACTCATGGCGAAGTTCAACAATCCAATCCGGAATGTTCACCTGATTGTGGAGGAGGGTGTGCGCGCAGAAATTAGAAAATATTAAAGCAGAAAGGGCCACAGAGATGAATTAGCCTGGCTTCTCCCCATTTTACAGATAGAGAAACGGAGGTCCTAAGAGGAGGTTCTGGTCTTAGTGGCAAAGCCAAAATTAGAAACCAGATCTCCTGATTCTCTTTAGCCTCTGAGGAGGTGATCCTGAAAATCAGAAGACACTTGCCTCCCCCAACCACCAACTACCCTCCTCCAATGAAGAAGATTCCTGTGAATGAGCATTAATAATCACCTTCTTCAGCCTCCTTTTGCCCTGCCAGTACCAGTTCCTCTCCCAGGGTACCCTTTACCCTTCTCTTCCTCCTTTCCTTCCTCCTTCCCTCCCAGACTTCCTCCAGGAAGCTTCTCTTGATGGTTGAGAACCTGTCTGCCATCTGGGTCTCTACACACATCATATACTCACTCAAAGCAGAAATGTCTTACAATTTCACACTGCTTGGCTGGATTTGTCTCCTCCTTCAGACTGTCAACAGCCAGAGGGCAGGCACTTTAACTGCGACCTCTTTCCTGTCCCCACCCAGTGGTGCACTGGGGTGCCTCAGCACTGGGGTGCCATTCCCAGCAAGCTGGGCAAACCAAGCCCACTGAAGACAGCAGCCATGAGCAAGGAAGCAAGTCTGCTTCTTTCAAGCTAAAAGCTGAGGCTCTGGGGTTCTTGCTGGGCTTGGCTGACAGTGGTGGGATAAGCTAGTCTGACTGTACCCACTAAAGGCCCCATTTAGTGAGCCCTTCTGAGGAGAGAGAATTGAGCAAGGCCACTTTATCATACACACCTCCTGAGCCAGGAATTTGAGAGGGAGCTTGGCAAACTTTGTCTTCCTCTCCGAGATAAGGTTCACAAACCTGAGTTTGGGGGAGAAATAAGTGGCAGAGCCCAAGTAACTGCTTTATTCAAACCAGTGGGGCTTCAAAACACCTTGCTGAGTTACTGACACCTTGCATTTCCACAACCTTTCCAATGACTGTTCTGTCCTGTTCTTATGGTTGGTGTCAGCCAGAGCAGGAATGGTACCATCTAGTCCAACATTACTCAGAGTCTGTCCTATACTGAAGCCATACAAACGAATAAGACACTGCTCTGGCCTTGAAGAGTTCAGTCTAGGATAAATAACCATGACATAATATAACATATTATGCTAGAACATAATATGTTATAAATGCTAGAACAAATGACTACATCAAACGATATGGGGAGCACAGTTAAACAATGGATAAGGTAAGAAGAGCTAAGGACGACCTTAAGGCAAACAAGGGAAACAGTATGAGCTAAGCAAAAATTGTGACAGATGAAAAACTCAGAGGCAACCTTTTTCTTGATGTACATGAGACAGCTAGACCCACTCTGAGCCACTCTGTAAATCAGGAACTCCTGGCCCACATCTTGGTTTCCACAACTCAGCAAGCAACCTTTCAGTGTTCATGAACAGAATGGGATAAAGGTGTAGACAAGGGTAGGATTAGAAAAACCACATTAAATCATGGTCAAGAACATCAAAGCATTCGGAAAGGTTCCTCTAGGTAAGAGTAAAAGGGAGAAAATAAATCGAACTGTAACGGCTGGAAGAGACCCAAAGAGACCATTTGGTCTAAATCACCCTCACCCTATATTCCAAAGAGAGGGGAAGAAAAATGGAGGAGAGAAGGCTCTCAGGAAAAAAGAGGAATGTGTGTTAACAGGGGGTTACCAAAAGCTGTCAAGTTAAGCAATCACAGGGTGACCCATACACAAGGACACACAAGGCATTTTGCTTCAGGGAGCACCCAAAGCCAAACTTGGCTTATCGTGCAAGCCCCATGCCCCCCACCCTCAAAACCACCCCCCACACACCCCTACCCATGTAGGTCTTACCTGACCAATGCCATGCCATAGAGCAGTCTAAGTTCATCAGTGCCCAAGCCACCAGTTACATCCATGAGCTTACAGCGTACCAGGTCAGCAGTAGAAGCCACTGCCAGGGGGAGTTCGTTGCCTAACCTAAAGGGCCACAGTCCAGCACCATCATAAAGGTCCTTTACACTGGCCCACCCTCCACCTCAGAATCTAGCTTTCTGTAGGTTATTATATATTGGCTAAAGGGTGTGTTAACAGACACAAATCAAGAAGCTGGGAAGATGGGGGTGGGGGGGTGGGTAGGTAATGTTCCTGGGATCCAACAGTATACAGGATGCCTAACTGCTACACAACCAATCAACAGTTAAGTGTGGACACACCCCTTTCACCCTCAACTCATTCAGCTAGAAAAAAAAAAAAAAAAAAAAACCTTATTCTGGAAACACTAGTCCCTTGTCTGCTCCCAACTAAATCTTACCAACTAGACTGAAGCACCCCATTCAAACATGGATTTTTCAGGCAAGCTCCCACCACCCTTTCTAATTCAAATAGAAGTCCACCCTAGAGTGCTACTCCTTAAGCCCTGCCTGGCTCAGCCACAGCAGTTCCTTCAGTACCCAGCCCAAGATGAGAGAAGGTAAGGGTTAAAGCTCACAGATTTGACAAAAGGGCTGTTGAGGCACACCGCAAATGGGATTAGTGCAAGAGCTTTGCTGCGACTTTTCCCCCAGGCACACTGAGACAAGCAATGCCCAAACCACGCGTGGGAGAACCATTAAGCATTTAGGAGAAGACTAGATAGTAAGGCCTTAAGAAACCCTATAGAGGAAGAAGTCAAGTGCCACAAGCACGCAGGCAGGAGGGCTAAGCCAACCGCCTTACCTGCTCCTCCACACCGTGATGCGGTTCAGCGCGTACCGCTGCAATTTATAGTCGTCACTGAACAGATACACCATCACCTGATCCCACTCGGCCCTGCTGAGCCAGGCGACCACGATGCGCTGGGCCCAGAGTGGCGACGACCCTTTCTCTTTGACGCACTTCCCGCACCACGCACTCCACACAAGATCCATTCCCCGGGGACCCAGACCTGGCTCAATCTCGGATTCCGAACGGACATCGGGCTCAACATCGGGCTCAACATCGGGCTCAACGGGCTCAACATCAGGCTTAGGCCTTGTGCCGCCGCACTGAAGATCAGCCTCCATCTCTCGGTCAACCTCCATCTGAACGTGCTACGTTCACTCCAAACCGCCGCCGCACCAGCAGCCAATGGGAGAGCGTGACCCCGACGTAAGCCCGCCTCCCAGCGTTAGCGTAGCAAATCAAAACGCGAGAGCTAAAGGCTGCCCAAACCACGAGCTGAGGGAAAGGCAACCGGAAGTGTTCTTTCGTCATAGCAAACGTTCTAACAGCAAATGTTCAGCCTCAACGTTCCGCTTATTTCCTGGTTGCTAACAGGCTTCTGTCCCATACCCAGCGGGACGTGTCTGGACGGCAGGAGGAATTTTAGTTTGAGCTCCTTGGCGGGCGGCTGCGGGACGTGTCTGGACGGCAGGAGGAATTTTAGTTTGAGCGCCTTGGCGGGCGGCTGCAGGACGTGTCTGGACGGTAGGAGGAATTTTAGTTTGAGCTCCTTGGCGGGTGGCTGCGGGACGTGTCTGGACGGTAGGAGGAATTTTAGTTTGAGCTCCTTGGCGGGCGGCGGCGGGATTATGGTCGTTCAGTGTACTGGAAATGCGCTTCTGTTTTTATTGCCATGAATCAGCACCTGACCCAGTAAAACACTGTGGACGGTAAAGCAAGACTGCACAGCAAATAGCATCTAGTATCTAAATATCTAAAATTGGGTTAAAAATCTGTTGGGTTTTCACATCTGTATACTGAGGAGTTTAGACTGGGTAATTTCTAGGTTCTTTTCTATAGCCAAAAATTGGATTTTACTCTGCCAGCATTCCACTGCTATGTTGGTTACCACATCCACAAAGGTATGCTTAATTTTTCTGCACAGTTCCTTGGGATTCCGGCGTTCTGGAGGGGAAAGCAATATTATGAAGCCCTTCTAATTTTATTGTTGTTCAGTCACTGAGTCGTGTCCAACTCTGTAACCCCATGGACTGTAGCATACCAGTCTTCTCTGTTCTCCACTATCTCCCAGATTTTGCTCAAATTCATGTCCATTGAGTCCTGTTATGCAGTGTAACGAACTGTCTCATCCTATGCTGCCCTCTTCTCCTTTGGCCTTCTATCTTTCCAGCATCAGGGTGTTTTCCAATGAATTGGCTCTTCCCATTAGGTGGCCAAAGTTTTGGAGCTTCAGCAACAGTCCTTGCAATGAATATTCAGGGTTAAATTTTACAGGCTGGTTAAAATGTGTTCAAGACTCTGTTCTAATCTTTTTTCACAGAACTTATTTCCTAATCTAACACTTGAGAGAGAACTGTTGCTAACATACCAGCAGCATTGCTGGGAATAATTATTTTTCACTTTATAGCAATAAATTCTGATCCATTTTATATGTGCTTCTTTCTCCAGCCAGCTTCTCCTAAGATCTAGTCTGCCCATAGTTCTTGAATGATAGTTACTCTGTTCTGAGTAGCCCAAGCATCTTCCAGAAACCAGATACCTTTGCCATGTTCAGGATCTTAGCTGTGTGCAGGCAAAGATGGGTAGATGGCTTATATGACTCCTTAAGATCCAGTCCAGTCAGAAGAGCTGCCAGGTCTGCAGAACTCATTCATGAACATTTTGGTAGTTTAGACGTAATTTTTGGATAGTACTTTTCAGGTAGGGCTTCTCTGGTGGCTCAGCTGGTAAAGAGTCTGCCTACAATGTGGGAGACCTGGGTTTGATCCCTGGGTTTGGAAGATGCCCTGGAGAAGGGCAAGGCTACCCACTCTTGTATTCTGGCCTGGAGAATTCTATTTACTGTACAGTTCATGGGGTACTCTATAGTACTTTTCATGTAAAGGGCCCTATCATTCCCTATTCCTTCTCCATGAACCTGAAAAACGATGTATTCCAAGAAAACCTGACCAAAGCACTTAAGACGAGTACCATGTCTAGTATATGGAAAATGAGGCCTGAGACCTATTGAGAATTAGAAATTACTGGATTAAGTCTGCTAAGTAGTGATAGCTTTGAGGAGGCACTGTATTAGTTTCCTGTGACTGCTATAACAATCTTCCACAAACTTGGTGGCTTAAAACAACAGAAATTATCTCACAGTTCTGGAAGTCAGAAGTCGATATTATTTGGCTGAGATGAAGATGCTGGGAGGACGACAGTCCCACTGGCTGCTCTGTGGGAAAATCCATGTCTGTGTTTTCCAGCTTCTGGAGGCTACTGGCATTCCTGGGCTTATAGCCACATCACTTCAATCTTCAAGAGAAGCATCTTCAAATGTCTCTGCTTTGTCTTCACTTGACCTTTTCTCGATGTGTGTAAGATCTCTCTCTACTTCGCTCTACTGTATTTGATTAAATTTAGGGCCCATCTGGATAATCCAGGGTAATATCCCCATTTTAAGATCTTTAATTATATCTGCAATTAAATTTATTTTTAAGTTTTATTTTCCTATGTAAGATAGCATTCTTTCATTTATTTTATCATGTAAAGTAATATTCACAGGTATCCGGGATTAGGAAGTGGATTTCTTTGGGTGGGGGAGGGGATTCAGCCGACCACAAGCACTATGGAATCTATCCTGGCTCAATAATCCTAAGAATATAGGTTCATTCACCTCATTAGAGCTGACTCAAATGTGTTCTTTTTTATAGCTGAGTAATATTCCATTGTGTATATGTCCCACAACTTTCTTATCCATTCATCTGCTGATGGACATCTAGGTTGCTTCCATGTCCTAGAGACAGAGTCAATTCCTAGGCAGATTAATAAGAAGTTCAGGGCCCCCAAGGAGGAGAAAGGGATCTTGGGATCTCGAAGTAGAGATTGAGGGTCTGGAATTCTCAAGGGGGAGAAAAGGACAAACTTTTTTTATTCTGCATTCCTTAGTCTTAGTCAATTACACACTCAGTTTAAACTCTATACTAGGGATTATACAACAACAATGTATCTGCCTGAAGGACAGTTTTTCCTTCCTGAAAACCTTCTGACTAATCCTAACATCTTAGAATGTATTTTATGGGAGTGGGTCTGGAGGACCTTTCTGTTGTTAAATTACAATCCTGTTATCCTAAAATGTAAATTGTGGGAGTAGATCTGGTAAAATTTTCACAAACTTGAGACACTCTTGATTCATTGTAATAACTAATTAAAATTTATATAACTCCATTGTCAACACTAGCAAGGGGGTATTCTTTTTGCCCCCTTCTGATGTCTATGTCAGAAGCTTTCTCTATGCCTTTTATACTTTAATAAAACACTATTGCACAAAAGCTCTGAGCGATCAAGCCTCATCTCTGACCCCAGATTGAATTCTTATCTTCCAGAGGCCAAGAATTCTGGCATCTTTTCATGGGTCAACAACAACATTTCATCTTGGGGGCCTGTCCGGGATTCTTCAGGACAAAGTAAGGGTGCTTGGAGCTCCAGTTCTTTGTTTTCCTAGTGAACACATTTTCTGCTGTACTTTACTAACTCTGTGGTGCACTTGTGTGAATGAATGACATGCTCTGCGTGAAAAAAGTGAGATGCCCTGCTCTGCGGTTCCATGGTGACCTCATACGGCTTATGGCAGAAACCTGTCAGGGGTTTATACAGACCTGCTAATGCCAATATCTCCTTCAGGGACTGACCAGAAAATGGGCAAAGCGTGCAGACCAAATTCTCCTTTCTTGTTCAGAGTTTCTGGTCTCTTTGACCATTTCATAACTTCTTGGGAATTCAGTCAGTTCAGTTCAGTCACTCAGTTGCGTCTGATTCTTTGCGACCCCATGAATCGCAGCACGCCAGGCCTCCCTGTCCATCACCAACTTCCAGAGTTTACTCAAACTCATGTCCATCAAGTTGGTAATGCCATCCAGCGATCTCATCCTCTGTCGTCCCCTTCTCCTCCTGCCCCCAATCCCTCCTAGCATCAGGATCTTTTCCAGTAAGTCAACTGTTCGCATGAGGTGGTCAAAGTATTGGAGTTTCAGCTTCAGCATCAATCCTTCCAATGAACACCCAGGACTGATCTCCTTTAGGATGGACTGGTTGGATCTCCTCGCACTCCAAGGGACTCCAAGAGTCTTCTCCAACACCACAGTTCAAAAGCATAAATTTTCTGGCACTCAGCTTTCTTCACAGTCCAACTCTCACATCCATACATGACCACTGGAAAAACCATAGCCTTGACTAGACGGACCTTTGTTGACAATGTAATGCCTCTGCTTTTTAATGTGCTATCTAGGTTGGTCATAACTTTCCTTCCAAGGAGTAAGCATCTTTTAATTTCATGGCTGCAGTCACCATCTGCAGTGATTTTGGAGCCCCCCAAAAAATAAAGTCTGACACTGTTTTCACTGTTTCCCCATCTATTTCCCATGAAATGATGGGACTAGATGCCACAATCTTAGTTTTCTGAATGTTGAGCTTTAAGCCAACTTTTTCACTCTCCTCTTTAACTTTCATCATGAGGCTTTTTATTTCTTCTTCACGTTCTGCCATAAGGGTGGTGTCATCTGCATATCTGAGCTTATTGATATTTCTCCCAGCAATCTTAATTCCAGCTTGTGCTTCTTCCAGCCCAGCGTTTCTCATGATGTACTCTGCATAGAAGTTAAATAAGCCGGGTGACAATATACAGCCTTGATGTACTCCTTTTCCTATTTGGAACCAGTCTGTTGTTCCATGTCCAGTTCTAACTGTTGCCTCCTGACCTGCATACAGGTTTCTCAAGAGGCAGTTCAGGTGGTCTGGTATTCCCATCTCTTTCAGAATTTTAGACAGTTTATTGTGATCCACACAGTCAAAGGCTTTGGCATAGTCAATAAAGCAGAAATAGATGTTTTTTTGGAACTCTCTTGCTTTTTCGATGATCCATCGGATGTTGGCAATTTGATCTCTGGTTCCTCTGCCTTTTCTAAAACCAGCTTGAACATCTGGAAGTTCATTGTTCATGTATTGCCAA